CAACCCACAAACAGTGGTAGGTTTTTTTTTTTTTTTTTTTGTTCTTATTTTTTTATAAGCAAATAAAATTTCAATACTTAATGGAAAATGAACATTAGCACAAGGGATTCTAAGTTTATGATGAAGAGTCCAATACACTGAACCTACTAAGTAAAAACAAAGAGTGAAAAGCAATTGTTCTTGATAAAAAAAATTGTGTAGAACAAAAGAAATATTGTCTAGTTGAACCCATGTCTTAACCTACTTAGTACAATTATATCCTCGTAAAAACTCGGCTATATAATTCCAACATCACCCTTTATCCACTCTAAAAACAAGAACAAAAAACAAAAATTTGAAAAAAAAAAAAAAAAAAAAAAAACTCCATCGTTACCAGGATATGGATGTGAGGAGTAATTTTACAAAGCTAGCAATAAAGATACATGTTAGAGGATTGTTGCACCATTATAAAAAGGACAGAGAGTTTCTACCAATGGAAACAATTATCTAAGACCGAGATTGTACCCTTGTAAAATCCAACAACATGGTGGAAACAAAAGGGTCTTAAGAGAGAACAATTTTGTTATGTAACAACCACATGGACCATGTCATTGCATGCCAAATTAATGACCAAATATTTTTTTTCTGTTTTGCCTTCAATCATCCTATCATGTTGAGTAAAGTGTTTCATACTAGTGTGTGTTAGAACAACATCAAAATTGTCCCACCCGTATATATACAAATGAAAAACAATATGATTGATGTCTTCTTGTTGTTTTTTTACAGAAGGGACACAATGTGAGACTTGCATCATTCAACACTCATTTATTGAACAAAGCTTTCTCTGTTGGAAACAAGAGAATACCTTCACTGTATTTGGCATTGGACATCTCCACAACATTTTGAACTGTGTTGAATTATTAGTGCAAATTTGTGGATATTGCACCTAATTGACTATAAGATTATATGTGGATTTTGTTATAGAGTCCCCTTGTTTTCCACTATCCATACCAAGTAATCAGTTTTGTCCTTGCTTAATTGAATGGTATCTACCATATTTGTCTAATCTAATAGTAGTGTTTTTTTCCCAAATGAACACCTCTCTCCTTCATGATCATCTCCACTTCCAAATATTTCTTACCCACTCCCCTAATTCTGCAATGTTTACATCCTTATTTTGAGAAAAAAGAAAAAGTCTTGGAAATGCATCTTTGAGAGAAACGGACCCTAACCAAGTGTCATGCAAAATATTGGTTTGTTCTCCATTTCTTACTTTCCTTTTCACATTGTTAGAGAACCACATTGGAGCAATGTTAGGTTGACTTTCTATTTTGGTTAAGTCCAACCACCACCATGACATTAATTTGTAGTTCCTATTTTCTATAGTATCTTTGTCCAATGGCCCATATCTATGGTTAAGTATTTTGTACTAAGCTACATTTTTAGCATGAGACATCTTCATTTGCACTTTATGAGTAAGTTGAGGTTAAACATTTATAGATTCTTCACTCCCAAACTACCTTTCTACTTTGGGAGACAAACTGTTTCCCATCTCACCCAAGCAATTTTATTGTTTTCTACTACTCCACCCCATAGGAAAGAATGTTTTTTGGTTCTTATTAGATTCTTCTTTGGTTCAAAGCTAACTTTGTATCTATATTATTGTTTTTTTAAATATTGGATGCATGATATGTCAAATCTTAACGATGTTGAGGTTTTGTGATAATGCATATAATGTGTTTGGTGAAATGCCAGAATAAAATTGGATGTTGATATGAGGTGGTTTTGTGTTGAATTGGTGGCTGTTAGATTATGGTTTGAGCTAAATAGTGAACTAATTCATTATATCGAGGTTGTTTTATTGATCTTTTTAGTTGGCAACTTAAGTTGTATGGAGGTTTTTTTTTTTTTTTTTTTTTGAATTGGTTAAATTAGATAATAACTTGTATTAAAGCTGATTTGGAGGCTATGTACGAGACTTTTGATATCTTTGTTGGGGTCATTAAGTTGATGGACTATTTAGATAAATCCATATATAACTTTATTTAGGTAGATTATAGGTTAGAAAACTAAGCTAAAATTATACGTCATGAGAAGTTTATTATAATCCAAGAAAAATAATAGACACCCATAACACAGTTAAATAAACTGAAAATTTATTATGAGTATATATAATTACAATATAACTTAGATATATTTTAGGTAGGTACTAATATATATTAAAAATTAATAATTATAAGATATAAATTAAGATAAATGAAATTAGAATGCAAATTAACTTAAAAATTGAATTAAAATATAAGTGAATTAGAATATAAATATAAAAAATTATTTTAAAGATAATATTTGTCTTTTAAACTAACATGACTTATGTTAGTTTTTTTAATAGACATATGGTTGATGCATCCAATACTCCACCTCCACCTCCCCCTCCTCCTCCTCTTCTTCCTCTTCCTTTTCATTTAGAAGGTGAAGAATAGAGTCAATAAAGTCAACCCATACCAAGAAAAGGATTAGACAATCAGTGTCTTTGAAGGACTTGACTGCTAGCCGTAACAATTGGGAGAAGAAGTACATTAACATTGATATGTGGATGGGGATTGCTTTTAGGTCGAGAAAAAAAAAGTTTTACAACTTTGTTGCCTCCGACAAGATCCAGTTTTAGTTTTAGCTCCTGCTTATCGAGGTAAAGGGGGGAGTGAGAAACCTTGCTCTGGGTGTGGGAATGTATGTTGGGTAGTGGGATTGGCCCCCAATCCTATGTTTGTTGTTTGTTGTATGCTCATGTATGAGGGATTTTTCCTAATTATATATGCTTCTTCTATTGCTTTTCCTATATTTAAATATAAATGTATAATTTTGAGATCTCTATGGGTTCCTATGGGAAACCCTAAGGAATGCATTTGTAATTGTAAGAGGAAATTATATGAGTAAGATGTTTATTGTATGAATTA